CGCCTGCCTCGTCGATTTTTTCGTCTGCGGCACCGTCTGCATCGACGACAACATTGACGACTACGCCGGTACCCACACCAGAGTTGCAGCCAGCATTTACGCCAACTCCGCCGTCTGCATCGACGCTCGCATCCATGGCAGCATCGCCCATAGCTTTGACACCAGCACTGCCAGCGGCAGCTCCCACGCCCACGCCTACGCGGGCACCAACGTTGACACCAGCACCAACACCGGCACCGAGCGCAGCCGAGACGTCATCGCCGACGACTGCTCTCACGCCAACCCCGCCAGATCCAGCACGCCCTGAGTCGTCCGCGGCGGCGCCAAAGGAGGCACCCGCGTCGGCCTACACGGCAGCGTTCGTGGAGCGTGTGTGGTTGGAGGTCATCGAGTGGTACAACGTGGTGTCACCGTCCACGTGGGCCACCTTGTGCGCCACGTACGCCATGTACTACTTCTTCATCGGCTTCCGCGACGAGTGGCGGCGACGGAGCGCAGCTGCAGCGCGGCGCCGACGCCGACAGTGCGGCGGCGACGTCGACCGCAGACGCCCTCTAGGCCACCAGACGGCCGCCCAGGGCCGCCCTGGCACCAGCCCCCACACTGCCTCGAGCCTCGAGCCGACCTCCCTGCCAAAACCTGGGAGCACGCCAGCGGGGGCGGCTCCAGCCCCCCCGCATGGCACCACGCCTGCCATTCCTGTCATCGGCCCCCACACGGCCTCAAGCCCTGAGTCGACCCTCCCGCCAAAACCTGGTGGCACGCCAGCGGGGGCGGCTTCAGCCCCCCCGCATGGCACTACGCCTGCCATTTCTGTCATCGGTCCCCACGCTGCCTCGAGCCCAGGGGTGACCTCCCCGCCAAAACCTGGTAGCATGGCAGCTGGGCCAGCCTCGGCCGTCTCACATGCTCACACGCCTGCCCTGGAACCTGGCTCCCTCGCAGCCTCGCGTGTTAGCACTAGCACTCCCAGCACTAGCACTGTGACTGTACGGGAGCACCTCGAGCGCTACCTCGGACCACAACCAGCCACCATCGGTTACCTCCGAGCCGTCAACCGTCGCTTGGCAGCTCGGATCCCACCGCGGCTCCACGCCGGCACCGAGGTTATCGCACAAGGCCAGGTCCACAACCCCATCAACGGCCTCCGAGGCATCGTACGAGGGCCGTCCAGGGAGTATCCAGGCCTCTGGACCGTCACGTTGCCTACTGGTGACACTGCCCACCTCCGCGGTTCCAGTTTGACCGTCCCAGCACCTCCGCTGCGCGCCGAGGCGCCGCCCACCAGTACAGGCATACTCACGAGGGCGCCAATCCAGGACCCCCAGCCTGGCCCCGCAGCGTACACATGTTGCAGCAGTCTGGCGGCACGGCGTCCTGACGACACAGCGGCGGCACCCTGCAAGTCGGCCTCGCTGCCTGCCGCCAGCGGCCGCGATCAGACGGACAACACGGCTGGCCACGACGAAGGCCTCGGTGGCTCACGCGATGGCGGGGACGACGACGGCCTCTCCCTCGGGGTACAGGTCGAGATCACCGCACCGACCAGCCCTCTGCGTGGATACATCGGCACAACCATCGACTTGTCTGGCGACCGCGTCGTGGTCCAGTTCACCGGCGGTCTCACCGTCGGTTGGAGCCGCTCCGATGTGACTCGCGTTCGCAAAGACCCAGGGCTTCAGTTGTCAAGCAGCACGCAGAAACTGATGCGGCGCCTCGACCAGTCGCCGCGCCCCTTCCCCGGGACTGCCCTGGAGCCCCTCCATGACATCCCAGAGGAGCCTGTCCCTGCTGACCTCCCGCCTGCCCCCTGGACGGAAATGTCTGTGGAAAAGACAAGCGCCTGTTGTTCACACCTGCTACACATGCGTAAAATCACTCACTCTGACTCTATTCTGTTATGTCAGAAACAAGGATGCCGCCACACAGTGTCTCAGCCTGATGTGTCAGAAACAAGGATGCCGCCACACAGTGTCTCTCCCCTGCCGACGACCGCAAGAGACGTCAGTACCACAATCAGCCACTCCCGCGCTACCTGTATGGCCACTCGCTCGGCGGCGCCTTCAGGCCCGCCGAAGCCTGGTGACCTACAGACTTCTCCTCGGCATCATCGTCTCTCAGAGTTGCAGCCAGCTTTGACGCCAGCTCCGACGTCCGTATCGAGGCCAGCACCGACGCCAGCCCCTACGACAGCACCGCCAGCGTCAACACCCAGGCCTGCGCCTACGCCGGTACCTACGCCAGAGTTTCAGGCCGCATCGACGCCAGTTCCGGCGTCTCCATCGAAACCAGCACCGATGACAGCTCCTATGCCAGCACCCCCAGCGGCACAAACCACAAAATATCCCACCCCGCCGATGACCCTGGATGTCCCTAGGCTAGCACCGCCGACCACCGCATCCATTGAGGCGCCCACGTCCACATCACCGACAGCACCGACGGCCGCATCGAGGCCAGCCTCGATGAGTCCTCAGCCAGTCACTGCTCTGACGCCTCGTCCATGGCCGCGGGCGGGAGTGCAGCCTTCAGGCGCACTCTCCGCTAGCGGGGCCGCCATGTCATGTCATGCCACGTCCGCCTCGTCGCCTGTATCGTCTGCGACGGCAGCTGGGACGTCCGCATCGGCATCCTGACCAGCGTGGTTCGGCCAGCATGTTGTTTGTATGTGCCAATCTTGCGTTTATTCTTGTTTCTGGTTTACCTGAATGTGGTGACGTTAACCCGGCCGGCCACCTTCGCTATCTACTGCTTGGCTTTCAGAGCAAATAGGTGGTGAGATGCGTAAGTGTGCACACGTCTTCTATCCCACTTAGTGGGATAACGGGTTTTTGCAATTCATGCGTAAAATCACTCACTCTGACTCTTTTCTGTTGTGTCAGAAACAAGGTTGCCGCCACACAGTGTTCTGCCTGACGTGTCAGAAACAAGGATGCCGCCACGCAGTGTCTCTGCCTGATGTGTCAGATACAACGTTGCCGCCACACAGCGTCTCTGCCTGATGTGTCAGAAACAACGTTGCTGTCACACAGTGTCTCTCCCCTGCCGGCACGAGCGGCGGCGTTCGCAATGGGTTCTCACCCACACCCTCATCCTGTCCAGCGTGGTTCTGCCTCGCCCTCGCTGCGTGTGCGCGTCCTGCCTTGCTCACCCAGGTGCTGTTCCCTGGTGTGCCGTTTGCATGCCTGCTGGCGGTGGAGGTGTGGGAGGGGGTGGGTTGGCGGGGGGGGTTGGCGCGGCTTTCTGCCCTCCCCCGAGCACTCGAGTCTCAACGCAATTGTCATTGTTAGCCCATTATTTGTCGTTGCGGGTATTTGGTTTTGTGCGGGTATGGGTGCATTTGCCGCTGTTAGCAGGACGACTCCTCTCACCCTTGCTTTGGTCTTATGCTGCTCTGTCCTATGCCTGTGCGCGATGCTGGGCCTATTTCGGCTACATTACCAGGCTAATGGCTCCTTGTCTTGTTCTCACTCAGAGCGGTCCGGCCGCCCCTCTGCCACGTCGCCGCTCTTTCGGCCCCGCGCTGGCCCCGCGCCCGCCGGGAAACTCTTCCCACCTCCGCTGTAGCTGGGCCCCGCCGGGCTTCTCATCGTCACTTTCGTGCGAGGGTCACGCCATTGGGGGCCTCTCTCTCTAAGTGTTTTTTTAGCTGGGCTGGACTGGCAGCGGCTGGTGCCGCTGTGCTGTAGGCTAGCTTTTGCCGCTCCTGTTGGGGTTCTCGGCCTGTGCGCACTGTGCTGGGCCATACGGCTCCCAGCTGGTGCACCTTTTCTCTTTTCGCCAGCCCGTGCGCCCGTGAGGCACCGCGGCCACGGGGCCTGGGCGTGGGGGCGGGGGGCGCCCCGTCTCTGCGCGCCGCGCTGCGGCCAAGCGCCCAACCGGCGGTCCGCCAAGCCGCCTTAGCCACGTTCTCACGTCGCCACTTGCGTTGGGGCCTTCTTCTTCACGCGGTCTGACAGGTGAGATCTTCACAGTCTGTCCGCCGTCCGTTGCTTCAGACGCAATGCGCCGGGGGAGGGGGCCTGTTGCCCGCCCTCGTTTCTTAAGGCTGCACCGCCGCTAATAGTGCTCGGCGAGTTGTCGCACCGCAGTGCGCCTCGCGGACGGACCCTGGTCCGCCCACTTGTCCGATCTCTTCTCTCTCTCTCTCTCTCTCTCTCTCTCTCTCTCTCTCTCTCTCTCTCTCTCTCTCTCTATCTCATCTTCCTCTCTCTATCTCTCTCTCCCCATCTCTCTCTTCTCTCTCCTCTCTCTCTCTATCTCTTCTACTCCTCTACTTCTTCTCCTCTCTCTCTCTCTCCTCTTCTCTCTCTCTCTCTCTCTCTATCTCTCTTCTTCTCTCTTCTCTCTCCTCTCTCTCTCTCTCTCTCTCTCTCTCTCTCTCTCTTCTCTCGTTCGCTTGTGCCTCGGAAGGCTGGGCCAACATGCCGTCGTAACGCCCTGTGCTGTCTCGATCTGGATAACGCTGTGGCCCCTCCTGGTCCTCCCCCTCGTCTGCCTCCTGCCCCCCGACCATCTCCTGTCCTTGTCCTCCCCCATTTATGTGTGCGGGGCGTTGCATGCTTTTCTCTTTTTTCATGCGGTTTGATGGAGTGCTTGCTGTTTGATGCTGCTGCTCCCCCCCTCCACCTTTCCCCACACCTCCCCCCCCCACCCCCAACCCCCCCCCCCCCACCCCCCCCCACCCCCCCCCCCCCCCCCCCCCCCACCCCCCACCTCCCCACCCCCCCCCCCTAACCCCCCCCCCCCCCCCCCCCCCCCCCCCCCCCCCCCCCCCCCCCTTCCCCCTCACCCCTCCCCTAACCCCTCCCCTTTTTCCTCCTCTCCTCCTCCTCCTCCTCCTCTCCGCACCTACCTCCTCCTCCTCCTCCTCCTCCTCTGCCTCCCCCTCTTCCTCCTCCGCCTCCTCGCCCTCCTCCTCCTCCTCCTCCTCCTCCTCCTCCAGGAGCCATAGCAGTTTCGGCCCGAGCAGCCCCTCCGACCCCGTGCCGCCGCCGCCCCAGGAGCGCCCCTCCGGTGCTCGAGCGGAGCTCATGGAGAGGCAGATACAGAATCGCATGGAGGCAGTGAGGACGGGCGCAGTGCCAGGGCCCACGCAGAAACAGCAGGACGACGCGCGGACCAAGATCAGGGAGTGGGGGCACGCAGACGTTCCGCCCACGGACGACATGGTGAGCCTCTTCTGCGCAATCGCCGACGTCCTCGGCCCGCTGTCCCGCGTGACACTTCCAAGGGTGAAGAAATTCAGGACGGTGGTGCGGCAGGTCCTTGCCGTGGAGGGGATCCACTGGATCGCCCCCAAGCAGAACCTGACGGACGCGGACTTGCGGGAGTTCGGCGGGGCCGTGGTGGGCCCGCGGTCTGTGCCCGAGCAGTTCCAGGACATCTGCCGGACGAGCTACGTGGTCGACCAATGCATCCCGCGGAGCAGGCTCGGCTTGAACGTCAAGCAGCGCAAAGTCGCGGTCAACCTGGAGAGGGAGATCGACGCCACCGCGATGAGCGACTGGACCCCGCAGGCCGGGCTACCGCCGCCGCCTTCCGAGGGTGTCGCGGCGCTGCCCCCGGGAACGGGCGCTACGGCGAGTTCGGCCGCAGGGGGCGGCCCCGCCGCTGATGTCACCGGCGGCCAGAGGGGCAGCGGGCGCGTGGCGAGTTCGGGCGCAGGGGGCGGCGACGCCGCTGATGCAGCCGGCGGCCAGAGGGGCAGCGGGCGCGTGGTTCGCCAGCAGGCGCTCGCCGCTTCGGAGCCGTCGGAGGACGAAGCAGCTGTCGCCCGCAAGACCCGCGACGCGGCGACGAAGGCGATCGATGAGGGCAGGTTGTACACGACCGACACGAGCGACTCGAGGTGCGCAATTTTTTGGCCCAGGAGCGCTTGCGACCACTCGGTCGAGCAGGGCGCCAGGGACTTGGACAGCGCCCCTGCAGACTTCACCTACTTCTTCAAGCTGGTCACCGTGGCGCTCATGAAGAAGCGCTGCCTCGGCGTACTGCACTTCTTCGCCGAGCAGTTCACCCGCGTGGACGAGGCGATGCTGAACTTCCCCCCGGCCTTCAGCAAAGGCCTCATCAAGCTGGCGTGGATGCGCGACCAGCCGGAGACGGAGCACGGCGCCGCCGTCTCCTGGGAGCACTCTCTGAAGTTCCACAGCAGCGAGGTCTACTTGGAGTTCGTGGACTGGAAGTTCGACAGGAGGATGGATAATGCGAGAAAGGACATGCTAGCGAACCCCGCGGAGCGTTACGACGCATGCCGCTGCCTGCTCGAACAGGCGCCCACGGGCGCCGCCAAGGCCGAGCTCGCCAGTGCCATGTCCATCTTCGGCAGCGGCTCCGACCTGGAGAAGGCGAAGTTCGCCTTGACGGCCAAGAACATGCTTGTGGTCGAGGCGTGGTGCCCGACGGACCCTCCATCTGATCAGTCGCCCCTGGCGGCGCCTGCGGGCGCTTTCAACGGGCCCTCCGTCGACAAGGTCGCGGTCGCCTTGGAGCGCCCCCCCGTGGACAGCGAGGTGATCGGCGCCATCCAGGGCCCGACTGCCCGGGCCGTGATCGAGCAGTGCGCGTCGGCGCTCTCATCCAACGTGGAGTACAGCGAGAACTTCAAGATGACTGCGCAGCTCTTGACGCTCGAGGCCCTCGCGTACAAGCGCGGCCTTGTCGGCGACGTGGGGTTGGTCGTGGAGGACCCGACGTGGGGCGCGCCCCTCGCGGGGCACCGCTCCGACGCGGAGTGCAAGGCGTTGCGCCGCACCCCTGGCACTGGCGGAGCGGGGGAGAAGCTGGCGAAGTCCGGCCTGGCGCCAGCGACGGCGTTGTTGCTGACCCGCGTGGCAAACCAGCAGAGGGGGGAGGCGGCGGCAGCCCAGGCGGCAGTGGCCGCCGAGGCAGCAGCGGCCGCGGAGGCGGCAGCGGCCGCCGAGGCGGCGGCGGCAGCGGAGGCGGCAGCGGCCGCCGAGGCTGGCGAGGATGGGCCGAACGGCGAGGGAGATGGCACGGCGCCGCGCGTCAAGGCCGAAGGGAAGGCTGGGCCCGCGGCGGCCCAGACGGCGCCGCACGCCAAGGCCAAAGGGAAGGCAGCGCCCCCCGGCGTTACGACGGGCGCCGGTGGCCAGGCAACGACCGCCGGCGGCTCGGCCGACCAGGGGGGGCTCGCGGAGCCGCCGTTTCGGGCGGGCGACGAGGTCACCATCGAGCACAAGAAGAAGATGTACGACGGCTACGCCGGAGAGGTGAAACAAGTCTACAAGAGCAAATGCTTGGTCGAGCTCTCCGAGGGGCCGTCCAAGGGGAAGGGCGACGGAACCCGCAAGTTCGATTTCGAGAAGTTGACCAAGGCCAGCGGGGCGGCGGGAGCAGGTTTGGCGCCCGCGGCGGGCTCGAGGAAGCGCGCCAGCAGCGGCGCAGCCGCTGCCGCTGAGCCCTCGGCGAAGCAGGCGAAGGGGGAGGAGGCCGAGTCTGAGGCTCTCGTGAGCACTTTGCACGGGCCAGAGGTTGACGAGTGCATGTGACGTCGCGGCGCCGTAGGAACCCAGTCCGCGGGGCGACGCCCCGGTTGTGCAAGGCCCGTTCTGCGGGGTGGGTGGGCCCGCCGGCCGCCGACGCCGCTGGCGCCAAGTTGGGCAAGTCGGCCAACGGCTTCATCGTTTCCGCCCGCATAGCCATCCTCGTCCTCGACGTCTTCTTCATTGCCATTTTCTTTTGCCCTGCCATCATTGCCCTCCTGCTCGTCCTCTCCCCCCTTCTATCTTCTTCCATGCTCGCCCTCGCCCTCGCCATCGTCCTCGACACCTCCGCGAACCCCGTCCGTTACGACGGCGTGCCTTGTTCGAGGACCCTGGAAGGTCGCGCCGACGATGGCGTTGCGCCGCTCGCCGCCTCGTATCTTTCTTCCTCTCACCCCGCTCCCCCCCCCCCCATCCTGCTCTCCCCCTTCCTTCCCCTCATCCTCCCCCCCATCGCCGTCCTCCGCCTTGTTTTTCGGCATCCCCCGCCCCCTTCCCTCTTCCCCTGCCCGTCCCGCTCCTCTATCTCTTTCCTCGCCCCCCCTCCTTCGCCCCCCTCCCCCTCCCTTCCCTGTCGAGCCATTTTGGATCGAAACCCGCGCGGCTCGTGGTCATCTATTCCCGTGTGGCTCACGGGGAACCCTCCGCAAACCCCGGCCGTTACGACGGCGCGCCTCGTGCGAGAATCTGGGAAGGCCGCGCCGAGGTATTCCTGCTAGGGGAATTGCTGCTTGTGAAAAGACGGCGGTGGAACCTGCAATGCTCGCTCCGCCCAGGTCGCCGCCCCCGCCCAGGCCCCTGTGCGCAGCGGGGTTTTGCAATGACGCGAATTCGACGAGCACGGCAGAGGAACCTCGTCGTGGCTTCCGTTCTCAGACGCAGCCTGGTTTCCCAGCTTGTGTAAGGTAGCGATGGCCTCGAGCACTTCGCCTCCCCCGTCATCCGTCTCGCGGTTGTTCGTGGTGGGATGGGGCCGTGTTTCCTCTATTTCGTTTTTTTTTTGTTTTATTTCCAAGACGGCCGGGTTAATGTAGGTTTCCATGCCTTTGCGTTCTAACGACCATACCCCAGCACGACCACACCCCAGTACGACCAGACCCTAGCACGACCCCACCCCAGCACGACCCCACCCCAGCACGACCATACCCCAGCACGACCACGCCCCAGCACGACCCGACCCCAGCGCGACCCTACCCCAGCAAAACCACACCACAGCACGACCACACCCCAGCACGACCTCACCACAGCACGACCACACCCCAGCACGACCACGCCCCAGCACGACCACGCCCCAGCACGACCACGCCCCAACGCGACCACCACCCAGCACGACCACCCCCCCAGCACGACCACCCCCCAGCACGACCACCCCCCAGCACGACCACACCCCAGCACGACCACTCCCCAGCACGACCACACCCCAGCACGACCACACCCCAGCACGACCACACCCAGTCGCACCCCCGTGGAAGGTTTCGTGGCGTGTCTGGTTGAGTGGTTGCCTGTTCGTGGGGTGTCTCGTGGAATGTTTCACGGGGTGTCTCGTGGAATGTTTCGTGAGGTGTCTCGTGGAATGTTTCGTGAGGTGTCTCGTGGGATGTTTTGCGGGGTGTCTCGTGGGATGTTTCGTGAGATGTCGCCCAGTTGGGTATCGTGAAGACGTGACCATGCTGCACATGTCTTTATCCCTTTCCGGGTTCGTGGGCCCATCATTTATTTTTTTTCCTCCCAGAATTTGTTGAGGATGTCTCGAGCGAAACGCTGGTTTTGCAAAATTGGGGGGATGTCTCGAGCGGGAGCCTCGTGGGTGGCCAGAATTGAGAGGATGTCTCAAGCGAAATGCTTGTTTTCACGTCCCGCTCGCAGGAATTCCGAGGATGTCTCGCGCGTGCCGCGTCCCGCGCGCAGGAATTTTGAGGATGTCTCGGCGAATTCGTTTGTTTAGCAAGGATTTCTTTGGACTAGGATGTCTCGAGCGAAACGCTTGTTTATTTGTTGAGGATGTCTCGACTAATTCGCTTGTTTTGCCAGGAATTCTTCAGTTTTTGACAGGATGTCTCGAGCGAAACGAAAGGGCATAGGCCCAGGGCTCTCTTTTAGTATGTAAACATAGTCCCCCGTGCCCAACTTAAGGAGGCCGGCGGATTCTTTCCCTGATAAATATCGAGGTCGAAGGAGGCCGGCGGATTAAAATTTGAGGATGTCTCAGGCGAAACGCTTGTTTTTGAAATCCCGATCGATAAATCACAGGGTGCGGGCCGCCTCAGCACGACCACACCCCAGCACGACCATGCCCCAGCACGACCACTCCCCAGCACGACCCCGCCCCAGCACGACCCCACCCCAGCGCGACCACGCCCCAGCACGACCACACCCCAGCACGACCACACCCCAGCACGACCACTCCCCAGCACGACCCCACCCCAGCACGAGCCCACCCCAGCACGACCACACCCCAGCACGACCACACCCCAGCACGACCCCACCCAAGCACGACGCTGACCTGCACGACCCACGCCCCATGCCCCATCACGACCACTCCGCCAGCACGTACCCCCCCCCACACGAGCCCACCCCAACACGACCACTTCCCAGCGTCCCAGCATCGACCTCACCACATCGCGAACCTCCCCCCAAAGAACGACCCCACCAACCCAGCAAAAGACCACAAACCCCGATCACGACCACACCCCTGCCGACCACACCACAGCGCGACTCACCACAGCAATGTTGGGCCCAGCACGACCACGCCCCAGCACGACCACGCCCCAGCACGACCACGCCCCAGCACGACCACGCCCCAGCACAACCACCCCCCAGCACGACCACCCCCCCAGCACGACCACACCCCAGCACGACCACCCCCAGCACGACCACACCCCAGCACGACCACTCCCCAGCACGACCACACCGCCTTGGTTGAGTGGTTGCCTGTCGTCGTGGAATTTTTCGTGGGGTGTCTCGTGGAATGTTTCGCGGGGTGTCTCGTGGAATGTTTCGTGAGGTGTCTCGTGGAATGTTTCGTGAGGTGTCTCGTGGATGTTTCGCGGGGTCGCAGTGAATGTTTTTCGGTGAGGAGTCTCGTGGAATGTTTCGTGATGTTCTCTGGAAGCTGCGCGGGGTGTCTCGTGGGATGTTTCTTGAGTGTCCCCAGTGCCTCACCACTTGAACTGACCGTGCTCCGCTGTCCGTATCCCTTTCCGGGTTCGTGGGTTCCATCATGTTTGATAAGGGCCGTGGGCCCAGGGTCTCTTTTAGGTTGTTTAAACCCCGCCGTCCCCTCCTGCGACTTGGGCCGGCGAAATTAATTTGCGAGCGGGCACGCACGGAGTAGGGCCGGCGAAATTATTTTTGAGGATGTCTCGAGCGAAACGCTTGTTTTTCAGAATTTGTTGAGGATGTCTCGAGCGAGACGCTGGTTTTGCAGAGTTGGGGATGTCTCGAGCGAAACGCTTGGTTTCAGAGTTTGTTGAGGATGTCTCGAGCGACGCGCTGGTTTTGCAGAGCCGACCGCGACACGGAAAAGCGCCCCTCGCGCAGGAATTCCAAGGATGTCTCGCGCGTGCCGCGTCCCGCGCGCGGGTATTTGGATTTCTTTGGATTTTGACAGGATGCCTCGAGCGAAACGCTTGTTTTTCATAATTTGTTGAGGATGTATCGAGCGAAACGCTGGTTTTGCAAAATTGGAGGATGTCTCGAGCGGTGGCCTCGTGGGGGGCCAGAATTCAAAGGATGTCTCAGGCGAAATGTTTGTTTTCACGTCCCGCTCGCAGGAATTCCGAGGATGTCTCGCGCGTGCAGCGTCCCGCGCGTAGGTATTCAAATGATTGTGACAGGATGTCTCGAGCGAAACGCTTGTCCCCAGCACGTTCCGTAGCGCGTCCCCTTGGCAGGTCCCGCGGTGCGTCCCCATGGCACGTCCCTTGGCACGTCGCTTGGCGCGTCCCTTGAGACGTTCTGCGTCGCGTCATCCTGGCATGTTCCCCTGTCCATTAGCTCTGGGGCAGCTACTATGTGTTCAGGCAGCTCGAGCTTAAGATCCAGATCAGTTCGGTCAGGACTCGGATGCAAAGGAGGACTCGATCCACGAGGCTATAAAGCACAATCGCGCCATGGCACATCGCAATTCAGCACGGCGCAGCACAGCACTGATTTCGGCACGGTACATCAAGGTCGATGCACTCAGCATTGCAACTTGGCAAGTTCCTTGGCACGTTCCGTGGGGCGTCCTTTGGCGAGTCCCCCTGGCACGTCGCGTCGCGCGTCCCCTGGCACATCCCGTGGCACATCCATTGGCACGTTCCGTAGCGCGTACCCTTGGCACGTCCCGCGGTGCGACCCCATGGCACGTCCCCTGGCACGTCGCCTGGCGCGTCCCTTGGGACGTTTCGCGGCGCGTCCTCCTGGCATGTTCCCCTGCCAATTAGCTCTGGGCAGCTACTATGTGTTCAGGCAGCTCGAGCTTAAGATCCAGATCAGTTCGGTCAGGACTCGGATGCAAAGGAGGACTCGATCCACGAGGCTATAGAGCACAGTCGCGCCATGGCACATCGCAATTCAGCACGGCGCAGCACAGCACAGCCCTCGGCAGGGTACATCAAGATCGATACCTTCAGTATTGCATTTGCCAGTCACCCAATCAGGTGTCTTTGAAAACGCTGCCATGTGTTACAGTTCTACATTCCTTTCCGGGTTCGTGGGTCGACCATGTTCATCATTTGTTGAGGATGTCTCGAGCGAAACGCTGGTTTTGCAAAATTTGGTGATGTCTCGAGCGGGGGCTTCGTGGGGGCCAGAATTCAGAGGATGTCTCAGGCGAAATGCTGGTTTTCGTGTCCCGCTCGCAGGAATTCCAAGGATGTCTCGCGCGTGCCGCGTCCCGCGCGCAGGAATTTTGAGGATGTCCCGTAGCGCGTCCCCTTGGCACGTCCTACGGTGCGACCCCATGGCACGTCCCTTGGCACGTCGCCTGGCGCGTCCCTTGGGACGTTTCGCGGCGCGTCCTCCTGGCCTGTCCCCCTGTCAATTAGCTCTGGGGCAGCTACTATGTGTTTAGGCAGCTCGAGCTTCAGATCCAGATCAGTTCGGTCAGGACTCGGATGCAAAGGAAGACTCGATCCACGACGCTATAGAGCACAAACGCGGCATGGCACATCGCAATTCAGCACGGTGCAGCACAGCACCGCCCTCGGCACGGTACATCAAGATCGATACAATCAGCATTGCACTTGCCCGTCACCCAATCAGGTGTCTTTGAAAACGTTGCCACGCGTTACATTTCTATATTCCTTTCCGGGTTCGTGGGTCGATCATGTTTCCCGGAAAGGGCTCGAGCCCAG